TCCCATCGTGGTAACTGAGTTAACTGAATACAATTGTCAGAGTGTGTGTCTGGCTTTATCTTCGTATGCACTATGATGCACTGAACATGCAACGTCTTTAAACTTTAGCCCCCCTACCCAGCCCCCCCTGTGTTTTGTAGGGTCCTAGGTTCCCCTGGGCGTGTCTACGCTATACGGATACGTGTGTAGTGTGTAGCACCTTTTGTCCGCAGTTACTTGCACATACATTCTCTTCAGTCAGCTGCCGCCTAATTCATTTGGCTCAAGCCCAATACCTGCACTCCGTGCCATAGAAAAGTGTGCCCGTCGTCGCTCGCACACTTGAACGTGAGAGAGGGTCTTACTTGGTGTTTTCCATCAGGTCCAGTGTACTTCACTGCCACATACTGCCACTTTGGGGAGCCTACCCCTCACCCCCACCCTCTTCCACAGCGTGTGCGTGTGTGGCTTCCTGGAAAAAAGGCACACAACATGAACATCACTAGCCCCCCACCCAACCCCCCCTCCCCCCTAACCCCACCCCCCGTGTCCCCATCTTCCATATTCCAACGCGTGTGTTTGTGTGTGTTCTTGCCCCACCAAAGGACTGTATGAAAAATCAGTTTCACTACACGCGCGGTTTTAAGCCCATTAGCAAAAACAACAGCAAGAACAAACAGCCAATAGCAAGAAACCCGAGAACAGCAAGAGCAGCAGCAACAAGAACAAAGAACAACTACGACGATAACAGCAGCATCAGTATAAGTGCTAGTAACTGTAACCATTATCTACAGCTTCCTTTTGGCCGGGCAGTGGCAAAACGATGGACTTGACACAGGTCTTCGGCAAAGTTGCTAGCTGAGCAGGCAGACAAGTCCAAGGCCAAGCTTGATTTAGACTTCCAGCTCAGTCTCGCGTGAATAACAGTCTTTCTATCTCTTTCTGTCAGATGCTGCTGTGAGCAAAGCAGCTTTGTTCCAAGCTTGCCGAGGTACATATCCTGAGACACAGGGTGCTTCTGCCTTCTCACTTTTTGTGCACGGCATGATATTTATATACATGTTCTATCAGCAACTTCTGCCTGTTTTGCATAGTTTGATTATATAGTTTGATTGTTTCGTTTGTACACAAGATAAATGTTGCGAACATGTCTTTATGTAACGTAGCTTTTTTTCTTGTGACAGACTCACAGCAGTACACATCGCTGTGTCTGCAAGCATGACCAGGAATCCATCCACACCTTTGCATTGCAAACAGAAAAAGAATATGGCGCTGTGCGACGCAGTGGGTTGATTTGCCTGGCTGCAAAATGGTTTCGGAACGAGACTTATTCAAGGTTTGGTAGCTTTTGAAAGCTCATAGCACAGAACCCAGACAGTAGTCTACCTGGTGGACAAAGAACAACCACCAACTGCCTCTGGTTTCTTATTCAACACTGTCGGTCTTACACATATATATATATGTATCTACATGCTATCGCCCCCGCCCAAGATCTACCATTTTTGCCTGGCGCACGCATGTCTAGATCAATATTATAGATAGATGTACAAGCAGCAAAGAACAAGCAGCAGGTTGAGATTATATTTTCCGATGTTATATTGGAATCGATTGAGTAAAAGGTTGTTTGATGCAAAGAAAGGGAAGGAGAAGAAGACCTTGTTTGTTGATTTTGTCCTGTATCACGAAAGCCAGCCGATAGGCTGGAGTTGTCGATGGGTGAACGAAGTGAGTATAGGGGGGTGGAGGGGTTGGTGACGTAGCGGGTTCGGCAGGGTAGGGCGAACCCAGAGCCTGGCGGGGGAGAGCAAAAATGAGAGGCGGTCCAAAAGGTAGTGAAAATGTATGGCTTTTTGGGGTGTTGTGATGCGAGTGATGTAATTGACGCCGCTCAGGAGGCTATTTGGATAGTCTTTCGACAAGGGGTGGGAATTCATGTCGAGAACAGGCAAAGGGGGACAACGCGACAGGAAAAGAGGTCGGGAGCCCCACCAGGAAAGTGAGATGTGCGTCTCTCAGCCCTCTGCTTACTTGTGGCAAAAAGAGTGGAAGTGAATGCAAGAAACAATGTCACCCGTAAAGGACAGGACAGGGAACAGAATGCAGTCAGCAACCTTTGAGTTGCTTGGGGGGTGCCCCTTTTTATGGTGAAGAGGGCTGTTATAGACGTCCAAGGGAGTTGGACTTTTGTACGGACCGAAGTCTATCCTATGCCCAGTAACGGTGGATGGGAGTTGATCCAGGCGTTGTGTATATCGGCTCCATCATACCGAGAGCTTGAAAGCGAGACGCTGCGTCTTTCAGCTTTCTGTTTCGTAGAAGGCGACGCAAGAAACGATGTCACCCCACACTGAGGCTAACCAGGTGTGTTCCATCCTGTTAGAGGACAGAAGCGGCGAGACCCTGCGCAAGCAAGAATCTCTTTCTCATAGAGATAACAACGTTCGGACAACTCAGAGGCTTAATCTTTACAACTGCGTCTTGATATGGGATCTCCTGGAGAGGGAACACAATGCAGTCAGTGTCCAAGGGAGTCGGACTTTTGTACGAGTCGAAGTCTATCCTATGACAGGTAATGGCGTCTATCATATCAAGCCTCAATGCGAAACTCTGCGCCTCTCTGCCTTCTTTTTCCCTTTGCCAAAGAGCAGTAGAGGTCACTGCAATGTCGACTTCGCCTCAGAACAACAGTAATCTTTGTTCGATGATATACAATCACGTGATCTTGGCAGTAAACTTTCAGCGGTCCACTCTTCGGAGCGCACCAAAGTTTATGAGTCCAGGTACAAGAGAGGAGAAACAAACAGCAGGAAAGCACCCCCCAGTTACTTAGGGGTGCCCTTTATCAGTTTTAAAGCGGCCCTGAACCAAAAGAAAAAAGGGTACCTCCCTCAACCTGTGAAGTGTCCCCCCCGGACTGTAAATGTCCTGCTCAACTCAACCTTTTTCCTAACGCATGGGCTGCGCTTCGATTCTATCCTACAACCACTAACAGTGAGTGGGCCTTGGTCAAGACCTTGTGTGTATCATATCGTCGACCCTCAATGCCAGACTTTGCGCCTCTCCGCATTTCCCCATGCCTGACAGCAGTTGAAGCGCGCTGTCGAAGGAGACCTCAAGAAAAGCCAGCCTTTGCACATCAAAACAATTTCTATTTCACTGTCAGCCTTCAAAACATAAAACGCGACCTTTAAGGCGACAGACTTTCCTCAGGACCTTACATATACGCAAACGAACTTTCAGATGCGAAAATGCAGAAGACATACCAACGTTTTTGAATGAAGTTCCTCAATGAAAATGTAAAAATTGCTTAGTGATAAGACATGTTTGATTTAGTTGAAGGACTTACAATGTATTATGACAACCTAGGCAGTATCAAAATCAGGTCAGTAGAGCAAATAAAGAAGAACGATAAAAAAACGTATTGCGTGACAATTCGACAGAGGCAACTAGCGTAGATATCTAGCTCCATTATGCAAGCACACTTTTTCACACAGCTGCTGCTGACACAATTCACAAAGGCATTGAAAAAGGCTACTACATAGATAAAATATGCTGGAGGAATGCAATCATTGGATTTTATGAAACAGTTTTTATGAGTGGGACACCTAGAAAAACGCATTTTATGCAGCGTAATACTTTACATTCACAAAGTAATTTTTCGTCGCTCGCCTGCCGGGTCTGTGTTGCTCTGCAGCTTCTCCGTGCTGCTTGTCGTCTCAACAGCACATCCAAATCTAGACTTATTTGGCTAAGTTCTCAACACCCATTTTTAAGCTGAAAAACATATATCATACTGATTTCAATTTTTGTCGCATGCGATCTCAAATTCAAAGCTGAAGAAACTAGTTGGCAACTCTACTATACAAGTAACTGACTCCGATTCTTGCGCATGGCGACCCCCACTGGAGGCCAAGTTGTTGCGCCAAGAAATGAAGGGCTGGGGATGTTTCTTGGGCGCAGCCTTGCATCCCAATGAAAATTACCAGCGAAGTACAACCAAATTCGAAGAGCAACATTTGCCTATACTTAAAGTCATGGATTAATACTGTGAACATGTGGATCTGTATTGAACGCAAGATCTATGCTGAGCTGTATTTCTTGTATCAGGATTGCTCGATACATGCGTCGGCGCCTGGAAAAATGGCTTGGGCACTCAGGCATTTTGGATACAATTCAATTTCCGCGAGTTTCTTTCAAGGGCAGTCTTCAATCGTCCATGCTGAGTTGGATCAACAGGCGCTCAAAGTATCTCAAAGTAGGAACTTGGCCTTTTGAGGATTGCCCTTGGGCTATGAGCGCTCATCAAGCTGCACGGTTTGCTTTCCAGGATTTATCATCATTCATTGAGGTGTCGTCCCTTCCAGCTCTTCAGTGCTGTTGTGTGATCAAACTCTAGGATGACCACGTGCACCACTTCTCATGCTGAGATTTCAGTCTAAATGTTCTGTTAACCTTCATTTTTCCCCAACATATAGGAACCAAATCAATAGTGCGAGCTTCCTTGAAGAAGAGCGAGCTATCCTGCGTCCACATATACTTGGCTTACTTGTTAGGTAAAAGCTCTTCAAAAAAAGTTCCTTCCTTTCCACAAGCTCCGGGCCCAAGGTCGCAAGGTTGGGTCACTCCTTCAAAAAGCCAGCCACGGCAGAGGAGCCACGCTGCGTGTCAGGTACTCGCAGCTGTTTGAAACCGTTCTCATATATTTTCATACGATGAAAAGTCCACCTATTCGAAGCCATATGAAAACCGTTTTCGCATTTAGGATCTTGTTTGGAACCGTCCACCTATTGTGGCCCTGCATTGAGCTATAACCTTCACTCGAACTTGTGAGTAAGAAGGGTGGCAAAATGATCTCGAGTTCTGAATCTTGAGGAGTGGTTCAACAGCTCGAGAGAGCTATAGCAAAAGCAGCCTCTCAGCTGAGGTTGTAGGTGGGCTGTTGATTCACTACGGAGATGATGACTACCATAGAGACTTGTGTGCGACACGGACATCATATAGATACATTTGGATACTCTGCAGTCATCTGCAGTCTACGTGTTCAATATGAGCCTCTAACACAGAAGAGTCTTTGCTATTTTCCAAGAGTATTATATATATATAGGAGGCCATGGCCATCGCTAATAGGGTGGAGGCCATGGCTAGTAGGATGGAGGCCATTGCTACTAGAAACAAAGAAACAATAACAGGAAGAAAGGTCCAATATAGTTTGCTACTCAGGTGGGAAGTTTCCGTCCAGCGCAGGTGAGACAGCGAGTACCCAGGCCCTTTCTCCTTTGGCTTCGAAGCAGGACATTCTTTGCTTGTGCAGAGTTTTCCGAGCCATGCAGATGGATTTTCAGATTTATCAATCCCAATAGATTCACTCCGAATTTGGTCTTCTAAACTTGGACAGTAGCAACACGTTGACCGCTGTAATCAATCTGATGTTCAAGATTCGGCGGCAGTGTCCTAAGGAGTCGGTTCATTTATTCTTGTTACTAGTTGCTTCTTGCTCCTACTAGTAAGGCCTTTGTTACTAGTAGCGATGCACTTGTTACTAGTTGCTTCTTGCTCCTACTAGTAAGGCCCTTGTTACTAGTAGCGATGCACTTGTTGCTGGTTGCTTCTTGCTCCTACTAGTAAGGCCCTTGTTACTGGTAGAGCACTTGCTACTAGTAGCGATGCACTTGTTTCTACTAGCTTCTTGTTACTACTAGCGATGCACTTGTTACTAGTAGCGATGCACTTGTTACTAGTAGCGTCCTTGCAGGACTGCGAAATTTTTCGTTGCCACACGGAGCCGACCTTCAGGACAAGGCCTCTAGAGGTTTTGTGCTCAGTTCTGGAGTGGATTAGTACGTCTTGCTCTGTAGGAAAAGCCAAATCATAAGTACTGTCAGAAAGCGAAGATAGCGAAGGCATTTGTTTGTTGTTGTTTCCAGAATGATTTCGATGCATGAATGATGCTTGGTTTGCTACTCGGTGATGCTGGTGTTTCGGAATGATTTCGATATGATGCTTTGGCCTAGTTGTTCTCCTTGTTTGCACATGTTTGCACCCAGGCAGAAGAAGTGATCAGGTTCCACCAGGCACAATTTGTGCCATTTACTTTGCAGGAATATTGTAGTTACTGTATC